CCAAAGCCTAAATGCCCTTCTGATCCCGATATTCCTTGGTACGAGGACAAGCCCGTTGGAAGAAACTCTCTAAACTTCATGATGAAAGATATGAGTGCCGAGGTGGGTATATCAAGCAAAACCAATCATAGTCTGCGTGCCACTGGAGCCACCAATTTGTTTCATGCTAATGTTCCAGAAAGAATAATTCAAAAAACTACTGGGCACAAGTCTTTGGAGGCATTACGCTGCTATGAAAGGGTATCTGAAGATCAACACAAGTCAGTTTCTCAAGTACTAATGCTGAATTCTTCATATACACCTCCTGCACACCAAGCTCAAGCATCAGTTCAGGGGGAAAACATACCAGCAGTAGAAGAAACTTGCCAAAAAAGCTTGACCGTTCATGCGAGGCCTGATTATGGAATGTTGTCAAAAGTTCTTGGTGACATGACCAACTGTTCTATAGGCCACATAACTGTCAATGTAAATCCAACGATCTACATAAAGAAGACAGAGAAAGAAATTGAAGATGAATTTGATGCTCTAGCTAAGTATGTTCAACTGTAGTGCTCTGCACTGTATTCCCCAGTATGTATAGTTGTGTTATCATCAATATTTGTCACCCACAATTCCCAAGGCTTGGTGCCAGCTGGCTGGGAAGAAGTGTGAAAAGTAACAGGTAATATCACTCATATTACCTGTTACTTTTCACACCTGCAGTCATATTACCTGTTAGTTTTCACACCTCTTCAGGCTACTCCACTAATACACTCAACAATTTTCCATTGTTCTGAGGCCTAGCCAGGGTACAATATATAATTATAATTAAGGTGTATGCAAGCATTGTCATAACAAGGTGACTTATTTATACAAGGTGGTTCGCAGACACAAAACATGCTGTGTACTTTAATCAGCGTAACAGCAATAGTGATAGAATTCCCAGGTCACGTCTACTTGAGTCTCTGGTTGGTTCCCATGTCTGTCCCTTCTGGGGACATATTTGTGGCTAAAAAGAAAGGCTGTATAGTTACATGATCACCCTATAAACTTATTATTTATTGGAGCATGTGTGGAGATCCATGGTCTACCCAGCAGATGGAATTGTAAGTTACAGTGTTTTGGCAGTGCCATCAACGTTGCTGATGCATAAGGCTCACGTTCATTCTGACATATGGCAACAGCTCCCTACCAGCAAGAATGCAAGAATGCGTGTGAAATTTTAGAAGTGTTTACATAGAGCATTGTCCTATTGACAGTGTCATACAAACACACAAAATCCTAGATGGGCTCATTCCAATACTGTGGCATGGCTGTATCACCATAATGTTGACTTTGCATTGTGTGTGATCTGCCTGTTGGGAAAGAAAATAAACTTTAATTTATGAAAGTGTGACATATAGAATCAACAAAGTCCATTATGGCTCCATCACTGGTAGTCGGTTGCCTGTGGTTCACATATCTCCTCTTCACTCTCTGGCTGGTCATCCTCCTTGTGCACTGGAATTACTGCTGCTCGTAGCTTGTCCAATGCTTCAATTTCACCCTAATAAAAGCACAAGGTATAAGTACTGTGGCAATTGTAGAACTTTCTGAGTGTACAGCCAAATACACACATCAATTTTGCAAATGTGCTCATGACAATCAACCATGTCTATTGGAGTGTTTGCAGAACAAAGGAATTAGGGTATGAGGCAGTATTCTATTAAGGGGAAGACACCAGAGCAAAAAGGCATTTCTGCCTAAACACACAACATTTCTGAGGATAAGAATGCTGCACATAACAAAAAGAATATAGATGCCATGTGTAATGGTGAGTATTTTAAAAAACATTATTAAAAGCACTAAAGTGCAAACCCTCGGCGAAGTAGCTCGCAGAGAGTCTGACACTGGCTAGCTACATTAGTAGATAGCACGCGAGAGTCGATACACGCCATTCGTTGTGACTTCTTGTACCTTCAAGATAGACAGAGCAAGCGGACCCGGTCGAGGTAAGCCCGTGCTAAATATAATCGCATGTGCATTATCCGCCAGCGATAAAATGCCAACTACCGGCATTAGCCGTACAATGCTGGAAGCGCTCTAGCTCTGCAACGGAGCATTTTCAGAGATAACCCCACATATTTTCTGACCTTCGTCGCCCGTTGCGTAGATGGTATCATTTCTGGATAGATATTCGAGAGGTGAGATGTAGAGTAACGGACAGACAGACCCAACTACAGTAACCCTCGCTGCACATGCGCGCCGAGGGTTAACAAGTACTTTTACATTTTATTATTTACCTTGATTTGTTTGTGATAGTAATCTCTTTTTCTGCGGATTGCATCCATCGAAAACCTGTGATCTCATTAAAGGAAATCTGAAAAAATTTCAACATAATAAAAACGACATAACAAATAACTGACCTCAGTAAGTCTCCTAACATCAGTTGCTTCCTTGCACATGCTTCTGAGCTGATTAAAAATTGCAATGGAGTTTCCTTCAGCCAAAAGTTTATCTTGGTTGTAGAGAAAGATGGCAACAGCATAGCGGAAGAGCACCTTACTGCCTTCATACAGGAAGGTGTCCCAGATTCGAATCATAGTCTACCAAAATAATCATTAACCTTGCAAATACAGACACAGAGAGAGAGAGAGAGTAAAATTGACTTACGTCCGAGGGCATGGTGTCAACAAATATGGTGTGGAACCAGTTGAAGGTAATCAGGGAGAAGTCGATGCTGGAAAAGCAAGTGTCAGTGTACCCATTAAAAAGACAAACTGGTAAGATCAATGTTAGCACTGTTCCAACTCATGTATTCTCACACTTTGCTTATCTATAGTCTCCACTCACTCGCAGTTGGAAAGGTGTTGCGTTAGTGCAGGGGCCCTCTCCTTGAGTATGTCCTTGAGAACACGCTGCGGTAGATAACATTAGTGGCATATATCAAATCGATATGGAGCACCAAGACCTGGTCAGCTTGGGAACCCAGCAAGGAGCGGTCATAGTAGTCTCGTGGCAGGTGGTGATGTATAATGGTCACAAGACACCAGAAGGCGTGTTCTTCATCCAGAAAGAGGAGTGCAATGGCCGCCAGACGGTTCAGACCCTGGCAGTAGCCAATGCTGGTGTCATACCAACTGAATGCTACTAGTACTCGGCGAAGTTTGTTGATCTGGGAAATTTGTATAACCGCATAATATGTACTACTCTCATAGCTACAGTCCGTGTGTGCATCCTTATGAAATGTTGGTGGGTGTGCAGGTTGAAATACAAACAACATACCCGGAGAATAATAATAATGAAAAGCACTAAAGTGCAAACCCTCGGCAAACTGTGCATGCATGGTACCTCTAATTAATAGGCTGGGCATGGGCTATTAGTATGCGTTTACTCCTGGTCTTCCGCTAGTAGCTTGCGGAGAGTCTGACATGGGCTAGCTACGCCCTTTGTTGTGACTTATTGTGAGCGATCGGACCCAGTCGAGGTAAGCCTGTGCTAATTAGCCTATTGGCTTGTTGACTTGGTGTTTGGTTTTCACGCCATAACTTTAGAATCCAGTACTTTTATGAAAATCACCATTTAAAAATGAAGCCAGTGTAGCGCTGCACCCATTGGTATCGCTTTGGGCCGGTTTGTTGCACATGGTGTCAGAAAACATGGTAACAGACAGACACACAGAGTAAGTACTCGCGCCGAGGGTTAATAATAACTTATAAACATGAAAGAGCCAGGGTGGCTGTGTCTTATAGTAAGAGAAATGAATTGTATATACATGAAAGAGGCTATCTTGCTCATCAGGTGTTTCTCTTTCAATTGCATTTGGAGAAATGTCCACGTGTAGCACACTAACCTATATGCATGAGTACCTCTAATGGTGGGCTGTGGGGTTGGGATACTCGTTGGGATACTCGTGGTCTGTTGCTAGTTCACTGTAAGTGAACTATTGAAACTGAAATTTAGGGTCAATAGATAGCAATTCCATTTTTGAAACTGAAATTTAGGGTCAATAGATAGCAATGCAATTTACGCAGATATATGTGCCTTGATGCTATGCTCTTACCCATTCACCATCAGCCTTATAGTGTTTGTGAGTTGGTAAGGTTCTGTACAGATCCAGTTCGATTTGGTTCAGGGCAATTGACGTCTGATCCACCTACAAACAGGCACCAAGTGTCAAATAACACCAAAATTACACTTTTAATTGCACTGCACACTATATAGCAGGGACAGAAACCAAAATGAAAACCGATGGGGGACAAAAGAGAGATCTGACTAACCACTAGACTCAAAATATGTTTTTACTCTTTCCAAGAATGAAAGCAAGATTTCCCCTCAAAATTTCCATTGCAAAACCTAAGGAGATGTCTCAAATAGTTCACAGCGACCTGCTCTTACACAACTGTTAGTCTGAAATTAACGTACATGTTTCTTCATGAGCTCAGCATACATCCCAGGCTGGTAAGATTCTTTGAGTGTGTCCTTTATAATCCACTTCCACATCTCAGGGCGATACTGTCGGGGTATTCCCTTTCTGATTAGCTGCTTCAAGTGAGTCTGCGTGACGCAATTAAAGGTGGACATATTACTTTGATTCACACACTACTTTTAGTTTCACCCAATGAAAATGAGAACTTTTGGCGTACCACATGCTATTCATAGGAATGATTTGCTCTTGTACTTACCCATACAGCTACAATTAACAAGCAACAGACACATAAATCTTCCATAAGTCCATTAGAATTTACGTTATAATACCACTTTATACGTGTATACCACGTATAGTTTCTTTAAAGAGATGCCCATGGCGTCCAAAGGTTAAAAGAGCTTGCATGTAAATTTTTTAATAAGACTTGGTCTGCTTACAACTCACAGTTCTCGGCAAGTGTCTAGTCCCAACATGTTGTGACCAAAGTACCTCCCACTGTAGCCTATGTTGAGCATCCATCTCCTAGAAATGAAAAGCACAAAAGTGCAAACCGCCGGAGATATGTCCGCATGTAAGTATACTAACCTATACGCATGCGTTGTGGGCTGGGGTTGGGATACTTGTTGGGATATAGGTTGGTAGGTGGTGGTGGTATACAGAGCAAGTTGAACCAGTCAAGGAAAGCCAGTGCTAATTTACATATTGGCTCGTTCACTTGGTTTTCACAGCCTAACTTTGAACGCTATACTTTTATGGAAATTGCCATAAGCCTTAATACAATTCTTTGGCTTCTTTGTTTCACATGGTGGCAGAAAACATGGTAACAGATGGATGCATTTGTATCAAGGAACTGTATGGCAGGAGAATCTGAGGGAGCCGCAGAAATGTGTCGTTGTTATTCTACCGTTGCTGCTCAAGTTTTAATAGAGGTATGCAAAGTTCAGGTTGTGAGGTACACTTACATGTAGCACACGGAGAGCATCTTGTTCATTTTTTCGCACTTTTATTCTGAGCATGTCGTCATCTCCTTGTAGAGAATCATGCTGAGAATGGCAGAAGCCATAGACATCAAATGATCTGCACATAAGGAGACAAGAAGGCAGAACTGCACAATTCACCACTAATATGTATTAGTTAGAACACCCCATTGAGGGTACGTGCACTCGGGCTTTGTGCATGTATACCAGGCAGATCACGATAAAGGGGTGTTAGTGTGGAGAATATTTTGTATCAGTTTCAGTATATATTTCTATTAACACTAACCGGACGCGCGTGCGGGAGTATTGACTCACTCGTACTATATGGCCTGCACGTGTGGCAAAATTTCAGGGCGGGTGACGTGTCTACTATTTTCTGTCGTGCGTGCGAAGTTCGGAGAGTGGTGGTGCTGAAACTTTATGGAGAGGAAAAGGAAGCTTCTTGGAGTGCAGTCAAGGTATATTTGTCATTATATGTACTGGTATATAATGGATGTAACAGGATAGAAAAAAGGGTATGAGAGTGAAGGAGTGGGGAAGGAACAGCTAAGGTGACAGAAAAGAGTAGATACATCTTATAAACCAGTAAAAGCAGCAGGGATACTCGGAAACATTTTCCTGGGTGCAAGTGGGGGTGGTCGGAGCATGTAAGACAGAAGTATGTCGTCGCTCTCCTCTTACTAGTGCTGCTGCAAACACGACAATCACGTCGTCTATTACCTTCCTCTGAAAAATGGGGCACAGGCCTCTTTCTCTCGAGGGACATGTCCACCTGGCGACCTGGACGGTGTTACATTGAGCCGGTGTGACGCCAACCCCTGGATTAGTGCCCGGCGAAATTGAAGGTGTGTGAGCGGTTTATGCTGCAAGTTTGTTAGTCGCGTGGCGTCTACAGTGTATGCATATAGCACAGACACCTCAAGCAACCAGAACACGACCTTCCTCCACCACTTCACCAACTTCCGCAGCAAAGAGTGGCAGGTTGCCATCTGATCCAGTCGATCCACTCCGATTGTTGTCGTTGTACAGCTGCACCACCTGGGGTTTCTCCTTCATCCGTCCTCTCCTCGTATTGACCTGGACCATATTGCAGGATTCAGCATTGTAATTGGACGCTTGTCCTGCCACTGGAGGGCCATCATCTTTCCCGACCGGTATATACCCTCGGACTGTCCGACGACTCTGTTTCCTCCCACCCTTGATCGTTGACTTGCACGGTGCCAGTGAAAGCCAGTCCCCTCTAACTTTGATGCCAACTCTGGTGACAAGTAGAACCGGTCTGTGATGACGTGGTGAAGCCTCTCCAGTGGCTGAGTGACTGTCAAGACGACCCGACATGTCTGGAGAAGATTCAAATCTGAGAGAATGTCAGTCTCACTCCCAAAGTAGAGTCTCACTCCATGGAGGTACCCCGTTTCACTGTCGGCCAAAACAAATGCCTTCATCCCCGAATGGGTGAGGATTCCCTTTGATGTACTGTCGACGCCAGGCCTTCCCTTTGAATGCCACGATTGTCTCAGCTAAAGCTTATTGCCTCATCTAAAGCTTGAAGGCAGCAGAGAACCTAGGGCAAAGGAGATCTAGGAGGGGCCGCACCTTTTGCGATCGACGTTGGAGTGGGGAGGTGGGGTCGCAGAGATGAAGGCTCCAGAATATCTGGAGGAATCTGTCGCGGGGCATCACCGATTTGCAGGTAAGACATTCATTATTTGTTGTCTGTGATATTATTTTATGAGATTCAACGTCTCGTGTTCACTCCTGTACGCCTTTATGTCAGAAAAAACTGCAGGATTCCCATCATGAGAATTAGCCCCATAAAGGCCACCCTGCAGGTGTCATGCCAGTTGTTCAGTGTCCTGCGACGGGAAAGAGGAGTGGTGCGGATGCGGTTGTGTGAATAGGAGGCCATTGGGGAATTGTGTCAGTGTCTGGAGTGTTACAACAATGTCACATTTCATTTTACTGATGGGTATATTATCCTACACATCCTGCAAACATTCTTTACCTGCATTTACTTCCTGCCAATAATATTCTACTGGCCGAGAGTGAGCCCTGCTGTGAGTGGTCCTATTCAATCCGGGAGCAGTGCAGTGGTTGGAGCTGCAAATGTCTTCATCATCTGATGTGTCGTCGAAAAATTCTTGTGCAGCTACATGTTCTTCACTCTCCACGCTTCCTTCACTGTCTTCACTCTCTGCATCAATCTGTGCTTCATACCACGCTTCCATAATACTTGCTACATCCATTGTTTACTGCGCACTTCAACCGCACTGGTACACAGTAACATCGGGAACAGCCAGCTGTATGGTACCGCCCACCGTGAGCCGCGTACATAGTAGGTCAGAGTTAAAGAGTTGTGGAGTTGCCAGCAGATGTGGTGGGCTTGCTCGATGCTTTTGAAGAGCGGTAAGCAAGTAAATAAGAAGCTAGGTTAGGCAGAACTTGCATGTATCACGGGTGAGGCATACGTCCGCGCGGAATGATTGCGGGTGTAGTGCCAGCGGGGCGCACGTCCTGCATACTATAAATTAATATGTGGCATACGTTCAGTAAGTGTTAATGGGCAACATGTGGCAGAAATTGCAGGAATCCATTACCTGCTTTAGATACCATGTCAGAAAACTTTGTAACTACGTAGTACTGTGGCTGTAATATAGAAGGAAAGCCAACATTCGATATACAGTGGACCCTCTGAATAGCGGACACCTACTGTATAACAGACATTGCGCTATGTACCAACTGCTTTTCCCATAGATACTGTACTTTAAAAACCTCCGAATAACGGACACTTTTTCCCGGTACCGAAGCAGTTGCTAACACCTCTTTATAACAGACACTCTATTGCACACCTACCTTACCAGCCTCACCCACGTCTGAACGAGCGCGAGTTAACAACTAGCGAAGAGGAAGAAATGAATGGCATCGCAACCACCCGTCATTCGTAGGAAGTCTAGCTTCTGCCGTGCACGCAGATTCGTAGGAAGTCTGGCTTCGCGCGCAGTAAGTAGAGCGCGCGCACAAGCGGCCTCAGTCGGACTGTTTACGCATTGGCTGGCAGGCGCGAGGCAAAATATGCACGTGTGCATTCCTAGTATTGTTATTATTTTGAGAGTGTTCGTTTTCCACATGGTGTCGATCTAGAGGGATCCGGGATGGCGGCTGAAGTCTCCTCTAGCTCTACAAGAATGAGGACTCACCTGTTCTTAGAGAAGAAAGTGGAGATTATACGCAAGTCTAAGGATAATCCTGCGTGATTTTGTTGGCACCAAGAGAAATGGGAGACGTGTTACCATGTTACAAGGGTTGCAATATGTGGGGAATCTGGTGTAACGGTTCATTCCTGGAAAGAAAGGCTTCCCGAGATTGTTAGTGGATATGACAAGAATATCTATAACTTGGAGGAGGCGGGCTGCTTTTGGAGGGCTCTGCCAGAACGTGGGCTTGTAGAGAAAGGAAAGCGGTGTAACAGAGGCAAAAAAGCAAGCTGAGGTTTACGATGGCATTTATGGTGAATGCAAGTTGGGAAAAGGAGCAGCCTATTGTTATCTGGCATAGCGCTAATCTAAGGTGCTTCCGGGGATTTGACCAACAAGCGTTACCTGTCAAATATTATCACCAACAAAAAGCATGGATGACTGGAGAGATTCAGGATTTTTTCCCTTCATTAAAATGAAATCCCATGGTAGATCAATTTTTCTGTTCCTGGATAATGCAGGATGCCACCCAATTCATTTGCTAGGAAAGTATAGCAATATCGAAATAGTTTTTGCCTACTAATACCACTAGTAACTTGCAACCACTTGACCTAGGCATTAGGCAACTTCAAGACACACTACCGCCGCTTGCTTCTCCAGTATTTATATTGATACTGCCCATCGTACATCTGATGTAATTTCCTCAATCAATGTTCAAGTAGCTATCAGATGGGTTGCATTAGCTTGTAAGGAGGTCAAAGAAACCACTATAACGAAGTGCTTCAAAAAAGGCTGGAATTCAAAACGACAACGACAGAAGTAAGCTCCGACGATCCCTTCCTAGATGTAGATGAAACATTGTCACTTGGGTCACTCATTTCAACTGCTATGGGTCCCCTATAGTCTTGTTCGTTAGATCAGTATGTTAATGCAGATGATAACCTTCAAGTGTGTGTTGACCGATGGGAAGTAAACCTCATGGAAGGTTTGGCACACGATGTGGGATCCGATGTCCACTGTGGAACAGAACAATTCCGATGATGAACTTGATATTCCCCTCATTCTCCCCAAATAAAGAGCTTGAAACAAGCATTGGAAGATGTACAGACCTTTCTCGAGAACTGCAGTTGTCTAGATTCAGCTCAGACCACCAGTTTGCTTTTAAATGATGTTGCTTCTAACTGTTCGAAACAGAGCACTCTGATTCCACCATTTCATAATGGATGCTGTAAAAATGCATAAAATGACAGTAGACACAAACCTCCCAAATAAGGGACAACCTCCGAATAAGGAATAGCGGCTGTGTACCAAGGTGTTCCCTTATTAAGAGGTTCCACCTGTGGAGTGCATGATAACAAGAACCACATTATGGGGTTTGTGCATTTTCACTCTTATAGTGACAATAATAATACGATGAAAATCCTCACCACAAAAAGTATGTTTTAACATTTTGCACGCCGCGTAGTATTGTGGAAATTCTCCGCGTACGCGGAATTATGCATGCCCATCCGTGTAATACATAATTCCACGCCACTGAAGTGGCGCGTGGCGCTGCGGAGCAATTATGCGTGCGCCATTTAAGTGGCGCATGGCGCCCATAGTGTTAACATGAGATGAGTAGCACAACATATGTGCACCGAAACATAAGGCTATGCCATTCAAATGCCATGCCAAAGCTATGTAGTCTTGCCGACGGAAAAAGATTCCTGTTCTAACACAGGCCAGCTGCATGAGTGAGTACTTAAGACTCACTTACATTTAGAATACTCGCTATACTTTACTTTCAGATTCAGTGCTCAAATTAAATCCATGCCCGTGCACAACCAAAGTTGTTAGTGTTAGAGCTTGTAGTTCAATAGCTGTATCAACACCATCTCTGTGCAATCGTCCCAAAAAAGTTGTGTATGGCTGGACAGCAGATGCTCACCGACTACAAAAAGGGTAGACTCATTCAGATACCTCTAAAGCAGGATAAATTTCTCCAATTTAATCTTTTTATGCATGTGTACTCCTGTACTCTGGAAAAGAGCATTGCACAGCAGGCCAGGTGGTCTTGTGCTACCGCAACCTCCTCTCCCTCCTTTTCTGACATATTAGGCCTCTAATTTAGCACTTTGTACCACACCATTTGGTGCATTATGTATCTAAAGTGTTTTCCTAGCTCAAAAGAGGGCACAGACACCTCTCCTGAACTGAACGCACCCTGTGCCTTATACTTCTACGTACATCCACACAAAGGTAGATATTCAACGTACTCCTCATAGTGGTCTTTGGACACATCGCTCTGTCCGAGTGCTTCTTCCATCATCTGAGAGACCAGGTCTGCCGAGGGGCCAGTATCTTTCCCTGGTGGATAAAAGAAACTAACCACACACTTTGCATCAGAAGACAATGCATTGACCAAAGCCCATACACTATGAGTTAATGAACGTTCCCACAGTTCTGTTTGCACACAAACAGAGCAGCTGTTCCGTCTAGTTAACCCTCGGCGCGCATGCGCAGCGAAGGTTATTGCAGTTGTCGTGTGTGTCTGTCTGTCTGCAGGCTATCTCCCTTCACGAGCAATCAATCGCTCCACAAACGATACCCACGTATTCAGCGTCGGATAAACGTCAAGAATGTGGGGTTTTCTCTGAAACTGCTGCGTTCGGGAGTTACGGCGTGCAAACCAAGTGGTTACAGTACTTGTGGTGTATGTCGGTTTATCTGTCCGCCAGCTATCTCCCTCCACAAGCAATCAGTCGCTCCACAAACGATACCACGAATTCAGCGTCGCATAAACGTCAAAATATATGGGGTTTTCTCTGAAACTGCTCCATTCGGGAGTTACGGCGTAAAAACCAAGTGAAAGAGCCAATATGCAAATTAGCACAGGCTTACCTGCACTCTCTGGCAGCGGATTATGCTTGCTCTGCGTAACTTAGAGGCACCAGAGGTTGCAATGTGGGACGTGTATCAACTCTCGCATATGATTAACCCTCGGCGCGCATGCGCAGCGAGGGTTACGGTAGTTGGGTCTGTCTGTCTGTCTGTCTGTTACTCAACATCTCACTTCTCCAATGTTTTTTCGTCTCACAAACGATACTACCTACTTAACGGGCAATGAAGGTCAGAATGTTGTGCGGTTTTCTCAGAAAATGCTCCGTTGCAAAGCTAGAGTGCTTCCAGCATTGTACGGCTAATTCCGGTAGTCACCATTTTATTGCTGCGGAAAATGCGCATGCGCTTATAATTAGCACAGGCTTACCTCGACAGGCTTACCTCGACAGGCTTACCTCGAAGGGCGTGTATCGACTCTCGCGTGCTGTAGTTAGCCTGTGTCAGACTCTGCGAGCTACTAGTGGGAGACCATGAGTAAACGCATACTAAAAGCCCCGCCCATCAACTAGCGGGTACCGCGCATGCGCAGTTCGTTGCGGGTTTGCACTTTTAGTGCTTTTCATCTAGTAGTGTAGCTAGCTTGTTACCGACTCTCAGTACAAGACCGCGAGTAGGTAACATGGCCCAGCCCATCAATTAGCAGTACAACACATGCGGTACTTCTGCGCGAGCGTTTCGTGCCTGGCATATAATCTGTTCATGCACGAGCAAGATATTCTGATCCCGTACCAAGCCTTTAAACATGGCAGATGCACAGTGGTAGCATGCTTACCTCGTCTGCAGCCTTTCACAGAAGACTGTATATAGGCGGTCTTCTTCAACTTTGCTTTGACATGGAACCCTTCTCTAGCGAGCACGTGTGTCTCCGCCGAGGGTTTGAACGTTAGTGCTTTTCATTTCATTTGTTAAGAGCAAGACGGTAATCACGGCCAACAGTAGCAAGCGTAGAAGGTAAATTTTTTACATACACGTGACAGTATCAACATCTAAAGGAAGGTCCTTCAGAAAAACAGTTAAGCACAAATAAATGCATTTTAACCGATTAACGGCCGCATTTACGCGCACCCGCGCATGCGTGAACGCCGTATAAAATTTGAAGTGTATGGTCAGATGAAGCGTGCTCTAAAAACGCAGCTGTAGCTCAAAAACCACAAAACTTTTGTGGGAGAAGTTAGCATTTTTAGAACCCTAAGACCAACTTGATGTGCAAGATGGCCGCTGGTCTTTCCAAAGATCCTGCAGGATCAACTCGAGCGGTAAGTGAATTGCATAAGTAGCGGCTATTTTCAGTATGTATGAACAGCCTGGGCTCTTCTTTGGCTGTTTAGCAAACGCACGAAGGTGTCCTTTTCTCTAGGCATGCTATAGTACCATATACGTACCTGGTAGTTTCGTGAGAAAGGCTGGAAGCCGACTCTCTTTACGCGTATTTCACCCACGCGGCGTGTATGTCTTCTTTCAAAGCTTTTCTCTGTCCCTGCAGGTGACGTCCTGGAGCCAGATGCCACTTGCAGTGTGTTGTACCACAGCTAGCCTTTTGCCTACATAGCCTACAAAGCTAGCCTAGCTATTCTACGAACAGCTGCACGCTTTTTTCAGTGCGTTGTCATCACAAGCAGCACACACGCAGCAGACAGTGTTGTTAACCCTTGGCGCGCATGCGCAGCGAGGGTTACAGTAGTTGGGTCTGTCTGTCTGTCTGTCTGTCTGTCTGTGTGTTACTCTACATCTCACTTCACGGGTGTTTGTTCGTCTCACAAAGGATACGATCTACTTAACGGGCAATGAAGGTCAGGAAATATGTGGGGTTTTCTCTGAAAATGCTCCGTTGCAGAGCTACAGCGCGAAAAAGCCAATATGCAAATACACAACGGACGGGATGGCTTACCATGGTCTGATCGATCCGCGTGCTCTGCGTACCTCGGAGGCACCAGAAGATGCAACGCAGGGCGTGTATCGCCTCTCGCATGCTATCTAGTAGTGTAGTTAGCCCGTGTCAGACTCTGTGCGCGAGCTGGCAAGAGACCACGAGTAACAGCTAAAACTAAACCCAGCCCATCTATTAGTGGTACGGCGCATGCGTTTACTTACGCGTACGCGTCACAGTGCGCCGAGGGTTTGCACTTCAGTGCTTTTCATTTTATGAAGTCATAGTGTTTGTGAGAGTGTTTATTGTTGGCAAAAGAAGAGTTTTGATCGTTTCCTACATGGAGAAGCAGTGTGGAGTACCTGAGTATTATCTGTGCTGAAGCAGCTCCTTCGCTAGAGAGGAGACTCGTCGTTGTGTGCGCGTGGGATGTTAGCGGTTTTTTTACTGGAGTTCTTGGAGATCGTTTGTATGACGAAGGGTTCAAAGGTTGCTGAATGGGAAGCCCCACCCTTCTTGTCAACGCCTACGAGGCAAGAGCTGTCTATGTTAGTATACGGAAGCGCTAGCACCGTCTTGTCGGACTATACTAAAGTTGCGCAAATTTGCGTCTATGGCGGTTAAAGGTGTTTTTTTAGAATGGTCAGTCTTCGCTAGTCTCTTTTTTGTGTATATTTGCCCTCTGTGCTGCACTGTGTAACTTTTGGAGTCATGGTTGAAGTGCACTATATAAGCCTCATCTTTGTGATTTGCTCAGCACATACAGCGCCAAGCGCTATGAGAGTAGAATGGTCACTTTTTCACTATTAAATTTTAGTTTTAAATTCTGTAACCAATACACTCACATGCACACGAGATATCAAAGTGATCCTCAATCATTTCTGGCCTCAAAGATGCTCATATAGACTAGGATCGTGCATATCACGTTTACTCATAAAAAATCAGCCTAACTGTTTTTCTGAAGGACCTTCTAGATGTTGATACTGTCACGCAACTAACGCATGACATCATGCGACACCCACATCAAAGGACAGTGTATACCTCTCTGGGGTTGCTGGGACTCCTTCAAGAGCACTAGGTACTTGCTTTCAAGACGAATGAACTGAGCCTCCAACTCATGCAGGTCACTGAAATTGAAATGAAATACATAAAGTTCCTCACACTAATTCAGAGAAAGGCAAATCATATTATGGGAATAGGCACATAATGAACAAAGGTATGTAGCTTAATTAGGGTAAATGTATTCTGTGCCTAGACAAGGCTCAATGTGACTGACCAGGCATATGCCGCGTTCGATTGTACGTCTCCATGGGCCAGTAAAATCTACACGGGAAACTATAGAAAAGTTTGTTTTGTATGAAGGTCTAGAATGACAATAGCTATTTCTCATTAACCTTCGGCACGCACACGCAGTGAGGGTTACAGTACTTGGTCTGTGTGTCTGCCTGTTACCATGTTTTCTGACACCACGCGCAACAAAAGCGACACTAACGGGTTCAGCGCTACAGTTTAATAATGGTGATTTTCGTAAAAGTACTGAGTTCTAAAGTTATGGCGTGAAAACCAAGTCAACAAGCCCATATGCTAATTAGCACAGGCTTACCTTGATTGGGTCCGCTCGCTCCGTGTATCTTGAAGGCGCAAGAAGTCACAATGAAGGGGGTGAATCGACTCCCACATGCTATCTACTACTGTAGCTAGCCCGTGTAAGACTCTCCGCGAGGTATATACTAGCGGGAGACCACGAGTAAACGCATAGTAATAGCCCATGCCCTGCCCCATTAATCAGTGGTACAGTTCGCCGAAGGGCTCTTTTTCATCTCATTTGTGCAAAGGTAAGGCGGGTTAACCTGTAAATACATTGCGAAATGCTCGGTTAGTATACTCTACCCTCGACCAGCGAAAGTTCAGTACTGGATCTAGCATATGACTGCATTATTCATGCCACAAAATAACCTAGCTGGCAAGATGCAGTATTAGAGCAATACACTGATACACAGAGCAATACACACATCCATCGACCATGTTCTCTGTGTTTACAATGATTGATTTTTCCTGAGCTTTGCGCTAGTCTAGGTAAAAGCTAGTTGTAACTTACTGCTAGATCTGACGACTGTCATTATTTTTTAGATTATGCTATCAGCAAGTCACTTTCGTGACCATGTTTTTTGGTCACCGTCTGCAGCATACAATACATCATTATTCTCTCATTCTCACTCGCGTGCCTGGAAAATATAAGCCATGGGATGATGACTGTATGCAAAAAGCTTTGCAAGCTGTAAAGCTTGATGGAGCTAGTGTTAGAAAAGCAGCAATGGAGTATGGTGTGCCACGGTCAACTCCCAGAGACCCTGTTAGTGGCAGGTGGAGCCTGCGGTAGAGGGGAGGGGGAATAGGGCAAGGTGAAGAGCATATGAGGAGGGCAAAGTGGGAATCGAAGGTGCAGCGAACGGGGTAGGTGAGGAGGGGGGGAAGGAAGGAAAAATTGAAGAGCGGCGTACCACGGTGAAACGAGAGAAGAAAGCAGACAAGAAGTGACATCATAGCCACGTAAAGGGGGAAGAGGGGGGGCGGGTCAACAGAAAGGCACGAGAGAAGCAGAATGAATGGGTGAGAAGGGGGGGGGGAGATCAAGTGCAGGTAATGGAACGGGAAACGTGGGGTAAAAGGCGCGCGGCCCGGGTCTTCTCTCTCTTACGAAAATCTGTAGGAGAGACGGCGAGCCGTCCTCCAACTCCCTGGGTCTTGTCACTTGGACGTCCTGCTGTTCACGAAGTATATCAAGGTGAACATCGTGTGCGCTTGTCCATCACACTCCATTAGCTCTCTCTCCTTCTCTTCTCCTTTTCGCCGACGGCGTGCCTGGAAGTCCGAGTGCTTTTTCGTACCCGTGCGCTGTGTCCGTGAATTGCAGCTTCTCTGTGGTCCATGTCTCTCTCCTAGATCGTTCGCTGGAGCCTCTGGAATTTTGGGGCCACGATACCCGCGCGACTACAAAAACGCAATAGCCGCTTGGGTTGTCCCGACCTGCTGGGCAAGACCTGCGCTTTACCTGAAGCGTGCAGTAATCTTGCCGCCTTTCAGATCCAGCGCTGAGCGACCGTGTCATCTTGACTCAGGGCCCGGTAACCCGTCGGTACCTATTGGTACTTGAGCGCTCAGGTAAGAGACTCCCGCCGAACTCGGACGGACTCATAGTGGCATTGAGTCGGTGTCTAGCGATGATACACCCAAAGCGAACGCGTCGGTCAAGAATCCTGCCGCCGTCGCGCTCGGTGGTCGGCTTGGAGGCAAGAAGGGCGGCAGGGCGCGTGCGGCAAAGCTGAGCGCGGAGCGACGGACTGAGATCGCGCTCAAGGCTGCCGCAAGCCAGGTGGCGCAACGTGGTTAGCAGAGTCGGTCCGGGTGCGTCCACGATTCCCCATCGAGGACAACTCGAACGAGCCATTCGGTGTTTGGAGGAGACGCTCGGCGCTGATACGGTTGCCTACAGCGGGGCGTTGGTCGACGGCGTTGACGACATCGTCAGGAACGTCATCGAATCAAAGGCAGATGGTGGCGCTCAAGCGAGACAAACTGGCAGTCCTGTTGACCACGAGTGCGCGGGTTACGTCGAAACGTATCGCGGTATCGTGAAACCCTGAGCACCACTTACGACTACGTCGAGTCGTGATCCCGGGATCACGCGTTCTCGCAGGCACGCTCTGGCCCCGCCTGGAACGCGATCAGCAATGGACTACTATTCTCAGTCTCGGTCCGATCGATCCGCAGGTTCAATGGATTACAGCGAACCAGGGTGCCGGCGCTCAGCAGGTATCTGGCTCGTTTACGAAGCCTGATAGACAGAGCCAACCGTGACGATATCAGACGCCAGATGGCGATCCTCCTGGACTTCGGGACAGCGGAGTTGTATAAGTTCGCCGACCAACACGCTAGCTGTCCATTCGTTGCTCAAAGAATGGCTGGTCAGCTACAAATTCGGGATTGGACGAGACAGAGACTCGCGGCAAGCCAGTCCCGCGAAACGGATGTTGACTCCCGGGCCGCCCCATATCGCCAGGAATTAAACGTACCGATCGGTGGGCATAGTCACGCTAACGGATATCCATGGGAATTGTTGCGGCCGCGCCCTAGACCGTCGAATGGTGATTTTCGGAGCCATCTTGAACTGAGCAAGGCGGTCGGGCTACCACGTCCTGTTCATGGACTATTGTCCAAGCTCGGTCAGCCACATTGCATACACTTTACGGAAACTTCATTCCGGTGCTTTCATTAGGAGTCTTCAATTTAACATCGCAGAGAGCAAGCACACACGTCTTTGTGTCCAGCTCTAGCAGGGGTGCATGATGGATACTTGATATCGAAGAGATCGTGCGCAAGAACCCCCAGTTGGATCTTGAGGCGCTGAACGCCTTGAGAGATCGCTGCATCGGATCAGGCGGCGCCCCAAAAACCGCGCTACATGTTGGCACCCATGGGCACCCACCGGGTGAAGAATTGGCGTACCCCAATCCCGGCCCCCTCACGAACTCGCAAAGTGTCAAGAGCTATCGGGTTTCTGAGTCCCCTCGTTTTTGTTTTTATCTCTCTATCTCTCATCCCTCTTTTCTCTCTCTCACCCAACCTCCGTTGTTTTTTTTATCTCTCCTCTCTCTCTTTTTTTTTGATCTCGGTTGTCGTACGCTACTGCCCGCGTCCACTCCCGCGAGACCGGGGTGATATAATCCCGGCGGTCGTCCCCCGAGGCCCGGTTGGCGCGCATTCGTGCATTGTATCCGCCGGGCGGGACGCATAGATTTTCCCCGCGACTTGGGAGCTATGGTCGTGAATGACGTGTAACGGGACTACTGGCGTCCAGCCGACTTCGAGGTCACCGCCGCGATGACGATCAACCGCACCGGACGCGAGGGCGCCGACGTCCTGTCGACGCCGTCGCTGCTCGGCCTGATGGAGCGGTGCTCCATAGAGGCGGCCGACCCCCATCTGGGGAACGACAGCGTGACGTCGCTACGCGGATCGACGGGCTGCGCCACCTGGCCCCCACGGCGCTCGGCTCACGGGTGCAGGTGAGGGCCGAGCTGGTCGAGGTGGACGGCAAGCGGCTCTCCTTCACGATCGAGGCCCACGAGGGCGACAAGAAGATCGGCGTCGCCAGCCACAAGCGCGCGATAATCCCGCGCGGCTAGACGCACCGCACGGGCGTCCGGCCGCCGCCGCGCCATCGCATCCGACATGGACCAGGCAGATACAGCGCCCCACAGACCACGCCGTGGGGGAGGTCGTGGAGGCGTCGACGGTCGAGTTTCACGCCCAGTGCCACCGGCTGTACGATGCGCCGCCCCTGGGCGCGCTGGTCAAGAGCGAGGGCGACGCGCCCGTCTACGGCGTCGTGGCCGAGGTGACGACCCGGAGCATAGACCCCGGCCGCCGCAGCATGGCGATGGGCGAGGACGATCCATCCGGAGACGCCGTCTACGAGCGCAACCCGCAGCTTGCCAGGCTGCTGGCCACCGAGTTCCGGGCCACCGTGGTCGTCACCGAGACGCCGGCCGCGTTCGCAGGTACCTCGCTCCCCTGCCGCCGCGCATCCACGACTTCGTCTTCCGCTGCGCCGACGACGAGGCCGCCGCGTTCAGCGAGGCGCTGGACTTTCTGCCGCTGCTGCTGAACGCCCCCGTGGGCTCGCCTGACGAGGTCGTCGCGGCATTCCTCAGGCGGGCCAGCCTGGCCCACACGGACCCCGAGGCGTTTCTCCTCCGGGCGGGCAAGGAGCTCGCGCCCGCGCTCGGCGGCCAGTTCCAGCGCCTCAGCGCGATACTGAAGAGCTGACGCCGTGAACGACGCGCCCGACATCGCCGGCGACCGCGAAGGCGCGCGCCTGGGCGTAGTCGTCGGCGGCTCGCTGACCGAGGGCGTCGACGTGCGCCTCGACGGCGACCGCTCCACCGAGGACGTGAAGGTGGGCACGTTCGTGAGCATACAGGGCGACCGCTCGCGCTTCCTCGGCGTCGTCACCGACGTCTCCCTGGAGACGACCGACTCCGCCCTCCGGGCCAGCCCGCCGACGTGTCCGACCCGTTCGATCGCCGAGGTCGTCTCCGGCACGTCGGCGTACGGGACGATCAGGGTGGAGCCGATGCTGGTCATCGACGTCGAGGGTCCTACGCCAGCCAAGACCGTTCCGTCCCACTTCGCCGCCGC